CAGATGTGATTGGAAACAGCACGGATCCTCAAATAGCTGATTAACCTGAGCAGCCCCGATCTGTTTTAGAGGAGTGTCGGCCACGGCCCTCTCTGCGAAGATAATTGAATTCTGCCTAATGAGAGATGGATGGGAGACATTTAGGGAAGGAAACGGCAAACACACTGCAAAAATTCAGAGCCCTGTGAGGGAGCAAAGAGAGAGCAGAGGAGCAAGGCTTGGTGTTTCCACTGTGTATTATGGACTGACATCTCAAAGGGGAACTTTGGACGTACTGCTATTCACATGCTTTCGTTCTTCGTGGAAAAAATAATCTGCCCTTCTGCTTGGCATCCTTCTCTTCTGGCTCATATTTTTAATTACAAGCTCACTATTTCCGAGAGGCATGGGCGAACGAGGCTGAAACAGACTCAACACGGGGACAGGAGTATTTTACAAGAACTGCAAACAAACCTTAGTTTTACATTAACCATACACACTGCAATTAATCCAGCTTAAACAATGGAAAAACTTCCATTTAAATCTCTTTTAAAAAACAGGCTACACATGTCTGATTACTTACTAAAAGCCCTGCATGTTATGTTTCATACACAATGTATATGAAAATTGCAGATGAAAATTAGCCTGTATGGCTAAATCTGGCACATTTACGTGACTTAAGTGATCATGTTAATTAATGTGCACTGTCCCTTCTTAAATAAAATAAACATAAACATAAACATATATAGTAGGTACATACATATTTGATGTAGACAGAAGGAGGCGACCTATTTCTGGCAGAACTATCAGGACTTCCTGTTTTCCAAAGGAAGTATGAGGTTATGGCTGACAGGATCCTATCAGGCATGAGTGACTGTGGCAGGGCCCACATGCTTCTCAGACAGAAATAAGAAGCTGTAATCTCCACTCCAGTCAATAAGAAGGGGAAAAATACTTTCCATGGAATGTCAGACTTTGTTATTTCTCCTGGACGTCGACAAGGATCAGCAAACCTCGTGTTACACCTCATGCTGTTTCACTATACGCAACAGAGGAAACCCTCACAGGTGATTAAGATGCAAAATAAAAATAATTAGCGTTTGAGCAAACACACTAAAGGAGGAGGTATGAGTCTGTTACAACTTGCCTCTTCCCTCAGAGCCTTTAGTTAAGAACTGTAACACTGATGTCATTTTGAGGGTCCAATCTTGCACCTGCATCTGTCATTGCTAATTTCAGACCAGCGCAGTTGTTATTTTCACACCTAGCACCCACGTTGTGTAAATAGCAAGTGCACTTGCGCCCATCTGTGCACCCATGTCCATGTAGGTCTTAAATTAAGGTGCAGTTAGGCATGTTTTACTGGTGTATTGCTATTTTGAGGCAGCAGAAAGCGACTGAAACATTGACCATCATAAACCTGGTCTACAGCCATAGCGCAGTATTTTCCTGCTATTTAAAGGGCACATTATTCAGATAAAGAGATGAGCCTGCATAGGCGGATTAAAAATGCACATACATTCTGCTAGTTACACACACAGGATCGTGTGGATGGGTTGCGGGTTAGTAAAGTATTTATCATTAATGAAGAAAATATGGATGATATTCTCTAAAATGTGAACGTAGCAGAGATCAGAGCAGAGCTGCTGCCCAACTTGAGAGACGCTGTGCACATTTACGCAGGAGGAGCAGGGTAACTTCAGTGATTATTTCAGAAGCTAAAAGTTTAGTTCTGGTTGCTCTGTTAAGTTTTTAACTACGGTTTTTAGTTTGGCTGCTTAAACATCCCACAATACCTGCTGCAGTGCTCTTACTGCATTACTCTCTGCAGTGCGTCAGCTGCAGGTGCACCCTGCTTTTAAAGGGAATGGTAGATGACACTTGAACCCTGTTGAATTCATGTTACACCCAAAACACACCTATGATTAATTCATGAAGTAAATACAACCCCTTTTGCCCCTTGCATTTACTTTGCGCCTAGATTATGCACAGTTGAACTAGCAGAAATTGAGTTGGACACACCCTAAATGCACTTGCACCATGGACTTTAGACCATGCGCTATACGTTGTTTAAATTAGAGCCGTCATTTTTATCCTCAATTGTTGACACAGTGTTCAAAATTTTCCACTCAAGACACACCCGCCTATATGTTCCACCTTGATTTTCCAGTCATATGAACCACCCTGTTTGTTCAGTCACACATAAATGCTTTACATGCAGCATGGTATATGACGGTTGCTGGGTTGGCACATATTAACATAAGGATGGACTGTACTTGGAACTAAATCAATCATGTCAAGTTGTGTCTTTCATCTGCCTACAAAAGAGTGTCTCTTAAGTTACATCTCCACCTTTACATTTTCAGTTTGCATATTTTTGCATATCAATTTTACACTGGTGTTCAGAAGAAAAGGGGTTCAAGGTTGAGTCAGTGGAGTAGATTGACTGGAGATCAGCCTCCTGCTACTGACTTTATGATCAGCTGGATCAATGGGAACTTCTGGGAAAACTCCTGGAACACTAACATTTGCAAATCCAGCCCTGCCTTGGTTCTGTTGCTTTATGAGAAACAAGAAAGAAGCCAACAAAATATAAAAGACAGGGGGCCAGATGAGGACAGTTTGCAAAAGCACTGAAGGAGGTACGTGGAAATCAGGGCACAAACATCACAGAAAAGAATGAATCAAAGTCTTAGTGACGGTACAATGGGGGAAATGAAGGGCAGGAGAGTCAGCTCACTGAGAAACACAGAAAGCCATGTGAATGAGGAAGAAGTCTTCATCCCTCCCACACTTCAGTGACAATCTGAGGCCAGCTGGTCTGGCCAAAGCATCCATTCACTACGCTTCCAGGAAATGAAGGAGAAAAAAAAACAGGACTTTCAGAAAAAAAGACAATGCAGTTATCTTCTTAACAACCAGGCAGTGTTGGAGCTCGTTCCCACAACTAATCCTGAATGACTCGCATTTCCACCACTGAAACACTGGGTCTCACCTGCCAAAAACTGACTCAGGTGTGCCTTTAACCTTGTTTAGAAACAAAGGGACTCTTGATGTCACAGGCTCATACAATCAGTCACTGTCAGGTCCATTCCCAGGCAACCAGGAGCGTCTTGAGGAGTACGAATATTGACATTTGACTTGAGCAAAAGTTACCAAAATTCACAACAAACAACCGAATCGCCAGAATTAAAGTTGGCATTGTACCTGTCTGCATATGTTACATTTGTAAGTTGCATATGTAGCGGATGTGTTGAAACTTTATATTTCAATTTTCAATATCATGTTGTGATGACTCTGTGGTTACTGTGGTTATGTTTTGATACAGAAATCTGTTGGTAAAGGTTAAGAAAACATCATGTTTTGGCTTAAAACATCCAGTTTTGCCATGACAAATGTGGCTGGAAATATCATGGCATTAAAAATACCTGCTTTTGTGCTTTGTTTGTCTTAAATGGTCTCTTGTTTGGCAGCCATTGCGCCTAAGTCTCACACCATCCACCATCCCCTCTATCTCCTGATGAGAACTCATTTAAATGTAATCTGAACTACGTCACTTTAGAAATGCTGATATGATGTGTATGAAAAGCGCAAATGTAGTGTATCCCTGTCTTGCAAAAATGTACAAAGCCAGTTTATTCTGGCATCTGGGCTGAAAATAAAAACCATAACCTGGGCAGCCAGGTGTTCAACAACCAGAGAGATGTCATGTTGGACCTATTAAATGTAATTTTGGTACATACGTGGTGCGTTCACTGAAATAACATAGTTGGACAAATCAGGTAAAGCGCTAAGTGGACACTGTGCTTGATGAAATATCGACTCTCCAGCAACCAACACAGGAAAATCTTATCACACAGCCATTGAACTACCAAACCTGAAATGTGGGCCAGTTGATAAAAACTTTTGCTGGTTTCCTGGCACAGTGTCAAACTCAGTGTGTTTGTGTTAGAGATACTGGAAAGTGGTTCTATTGACATTTGTTTTGTGTGTAAGTGTACCGGAAAATATCTACCGGAGAGTGCGCCAAAATGCCAGGATGCAACTCTTCAAGTGATATTTATCAGAATATAATAGAGTCTATTTTACAGTGTATGTTTACATTTCTATAAATGGCATGTCCATATTAGTATATTAAGTATACAACCATTATTAGTACATTTTTCTTTTATAAATCTGTAACTGGAGTGTCAGCATACACCATGCTTTTTCCTCTATGCAGCACAAGCCACGTCCTCAGTGAAATATTTCCACATATTTTGGGTTTAAAACATGCCTGCATTAACACCCAAACACACACACATAAATCGTGGCTCCTGTACTCTACAAACCCACTCTAATCCTGTCAGACACACTTCCAATAAAAATTTAAATAAACAGCTCTCGCGAGGTGAGTAATAACAAGACGAGAGCTTGGCAACAGAAAGCACGACACAACATCAGCACAGTCTTGGATGTAGGTCACATAGTCGTAAGCGTAGGGGGAAAATATTAAATCGGTGTAGTTCTATATTCCAATTCAGGTCATTTTCCCTCATGTTTAAAGCAGGATAAGTGATCTGTTCTTCCCTGAGGAACTTATCTCCCATCAGACCAGTGTGCTGAGGGTTGCCACATCATGAAGGTGACTGGCTCTGATGGGAATCTGGTAGCAATAGTTAACTGTGGTTAAGTGAATGGCAAAATATGAAGGGAGCTGGGTGGAGTTCAAGTTTCTCAAGGAATGAAGGGAGGTTGAATGCTTGGTGGAGAGGCTGTCACACTGGAATGATTGTCTCATTGTTCCTCCCTCCCTTGTCCTTTATCACCAGACAAGAAAGACGGGTATTTTGTCCTTCTCTTGAATGTGTTTTTTGACATGTGCACTGGGGTTTTCCTGCCTGATTTATGTGAGCAGTGACTGCTATATAGTAAATTCATAAGGAGGGGAAGGTGCAGATAGATGATTCTTAAGTTAGATCTAGTTGTGGAGAAACATCTGTTGCTTAAATCTTGAACCATAGCTTGTTTTTAAGACCTACCACAATGTGATGGAAGAGAAGCTCCCAGGCCTGGCTCAGCTTCTGGTTCGTGATCATGTCAAAGAAGTCATAGATGAAGTAACCTGTGGGGAAAGAGAGCATTTAGCCAATGCTAATGACATCCGCAGGTTCAGCAATTCATTACTTGACCAAAACATGACAGATTCATTTGACAAGAGAAGCCTCGAGCGTATCAAGTGAGTCAGGGGGGGACCCTGCTTCCATGACGACAGCGATGGCAACCAAGATGTGTCTTGGAGAGGGGCTATTCATATCCACCAACCCCACCCCCCTTCCCCCACCACCAGCCGTATCCATGGTGACAGCTATTCACAATGCTGGAAAAATAATGAAGTGTTGAGGAAGGGGACGAAGGGGTGCGAGGGAGCTCAGGGTGCTGCTGAGACTGGAATTAACCTCATTATGGTGGAAATTTGACACCAGAACCCTTTTTGTGGACGGGATGAAGTGTTTGGGTTCATCTCAACGTAAACACATGTACTTGCTCCCAACCGCAGAACAAATGAATTTCAAAAAGCTGTTATCGGGCATTTGATTGGTTTATTTGCATTATCTGGTTTCAACAATAGATGATATTGTTACATAAGAGCACTGACAATGGGCAGGCGGGAACTCCACGCCAATGTCGTCTTTCCAACAATAGCTTTTTTTCCACAAGAGGTCGAGTTTGGGTCAAGTTTAGCCATAAACAGCCAACTGGAGCATGTGACTTGAATTAAAGCGTCAACTAACAGACATCTCTTGCCCTTGTTTGTTCATAATGATTCGTTCAGTACTGGTTGACACATCTGTATAAAAAAACATTCAGGTGGAAAGATGAATTACTGCTGGACAAAGAAGAACAGAAATGGATTTTGCTTTCTTTCAAGACATCCTTAATGTTCTGCATCACAGGCGTGATGCCAATGTGAAGCCCGTTACTCTGCACGGCTAATGTCTACACTGAGAACAAAGGAGTCAGATACTACATGACTTTCCATTGGCTACCAACCAAAGCCTGAACAGGAAGAAAAAATCTTGTGAAATCCTCCAAAGCAATGCATTTGCTTTTTCCAGATCCTGAGGAGTGATATTCATTGGCATGTTTGCTTGAAACCAGTTAGTCAAACAACCAGGTTTCAGGCTGATAAAACATAACATCTCTGTTGGCACAGCCTTGTAAAGTATAAGAAACCTGATTAAGCCACGTTACTGCGGCATGAGAACATCTTAGTGCTGTGATGTTTTCTGTATTAGAGGTAACTTCCTATTATATCCTGAGGGTGAAACACCAATGGCACAGAGAATTATTCTTGACAGTGGTTATCCTTGGCAATATGAAGAATGTAGTGTTAAAGGCACATGAAAGAAGTACGATTACACACATGAACACATAACTATAGTTTGGTTCCTCCCACAGACTGTATAAAAATAATGGATGTAGCTACTGTGATGTCACCCATGGGATTGTAGTCTCTCGTTTAAAGCTTCAAATGTGGCATTTTGGCAGTCATCATCTCGATGTTTGGGGCCAAAAGTGACCCAATATTATATATACCATATTTGGACAAATTTAAACAAGTGAGCTTTATAATAAAGTTCACCCCTGTACAGTTGTCATAATCAGGGAAATTAGCTGTCAACCAAATCAAAATGTTTGTACAACAACTTTCAGGTAGAAAACCCCCATGTCACATACATAAAATCAAACAGCACTAAGCAAACGCTGCCTCAATAGGATCGTTTCTAGCCACCTAAGAAGATTCTCAGTTTACGTCAGTCAGACAGCCTTTTTTAACGAGGAAGTGAAGCCGTTACCTCAATGCCACCAGCCATTGACAAAATCAGTAATTTTACTTCAGGAATTGCTGGTCTACCACTGCCTCGATTGGTTAGTGTCTAATGTAAACCTGTAAAAATATTCCAAAAATAGCATACAATTAAACTCATATTGATTATTTTATGAGGGTCTTTTTTACGTGGCTAAGATGCATTTTGCTGCGGCCCCCGTCTTAGCTTCCGTTCCAGTAGTTTTGGTTTATCATAGATGCTAGCAAAGCAACACAGTACATAAAATAAGCACAGCAGAAACATCGGATAGGACGGACCACCATGTCTAACTATACATCTTTAAACGTTACAGTTATGACTTAAAATGACAAAAGAAATAAACAAGTGTGCTGATTTCACATATCTGCGCAATTTAAATCAGCTGCCAGTTGTTTACCCCAAGTGATTGCTGTTGTTAGCATGACGACACAGTGATTTGGTCTATGTAGAGACCAAACTGTTTTTGTACCAGGCTGTAACATGTTTATTTCTGCTGTGAAGTCAGGCATTTTAACATGGGGGTCTATGGGGACTGACTCGTTTCTGGAGCCAGCCTCAAGTGGCCATTAGAGGAAGTGCAGTTTTTCAGCCCTGGAAGTTGCCTCTTGGTTTCAAGACACAGCACAAGGTCTTCATTCAACAAAAGGAGAACCATTCATGGTATGTCACTGCAAGGTCTGCAGCGTGGTATCACAGCGAGCCAGACTGAATGCACAGATCTGATGAACAAAACTCCTCCCTCCAACTCGCTGAGGCCTCAGAATCACACCACATCTCCAGTGGGAGGGCTCGGGAGAAGCAGTCCACTTGTTTTTGTGTGAATGACTCCCCTTTCTGTTACCACTGGCACCGGACAAGCGCGGCTCGCATAAATCAACTGACTTTTTGCGCAGTTACTGTCTTGGTGATGTCATATGACTGTACGGGGTTACGCCTGGTGCCTGATAATAATGCCCTCCATTGAGCTTCACATACCGACGCTGCCCCTCGCTTTGCCAGCTTCAAGGGCTGGGCTTCCTGAAAGAATGTCAAACATCCTGGGAATCCTTGGGGAGCCCTTGTTGACAGGCACAGATCCAATAAATGTGTGGATTTGAGAGACCTCACGTGCCACTGGTTGCTCCAGAATACTTTGTGGATTAATGAGAAAAAGGGAAAACAGGGCGAGGTGCTATTTTAAGAATGTTGGGTCGCATGTTCTCTAAGGTCTGAGAAATCTTAATGAAATCAAGCAAAATCTACAAGACAAGTGAATTTCAGTCAAACCAAATGGTGTAAATGGGGTCAGAGCCAAATAAAGGACGTTTCGCTCACCCTAAACACAACACATAATTAATAACATCCATCTCTAATTCATTCTTAGATAAGACAGTGAGAATGTTTACAGTTGAGACCCTGGTACACCCGTATATTTACCATTACAATAACCACGGCTCCAACATATTTTTATCAATGAATTTTAAAAACTTTTCCATAATATTTTACCCGATTTTCAAGTGTTTTTAAGTAGAGTGCAATTCCAACTGTGGAGAGGTACACACACTTTGATTCCCCAACACTAAATTCTATTGGGAAACTCAGTTCACCTGTGTTAGCACACAAGCTGTACCAATAATGTGCATCCATTGTCTTCAATTCTCACATCACTTCAGTGGATAATAGATCATTTCACATGGCCATACAATGGTAGAGCATCGGCTGAGGTTGTCTCCCAGCTATCCTGACGCTTGCCTTGCAGGTAGAAGTGGTGATGTCATTTGGACTGTCTACAGCAGGCATGAAATATGTGCTGATGCTGACACTCTGTTGACCATCCTTTTGGTTGTCTTTTAACCTTTAGCATGGCGGACAAGACGTCAAACGTTTTGATGCACAGCCTATAATCTGCGCAGCAAGAGTCTGTGTCTCTCTTGAGTCATGTATATCTTTGTTATATAGAAGCCATACATTATTAAACACGCACTTTGCAGATAAACAAACTGTTAGCGCTTGCTAAACTGACCTGCTCGTTAGACATTCCTGCCGCCAACTTGCTGTAGAAGGAATGTATTTCGCACAACACTGGACATATTTTGGTATATTTAAGAACATATTTTTAGTAGGGGGCTGCAACGATATACCGGTTTCAAGGTATAACATGATATATAAGTTGATGGTTATCTACGATACTGAAACAAGGAGGTTGAACCTCCCTTTATTTTAGTTCTTTTCTAAGGGGAGACTTTTTACACATATTTCTATTAACAAAATGGTTTAACGTTTCATTTGTAGTAATAAAATGTGCGTTCAACCAACAATAACCCTTGTGTTGTCATTCCTTTAAGGGTCACTCTGACTGATAATATAAGTTCTTTATACCATGTATAGGAGCCATCCATGGTGTGAAATGTGTGAGTTGTTCATTTGTCCTGTAGGGGTCACTGTATTGTCATGGGTGTCTGCCAATATAGGTAGGAACCATTGATTGAGAGAACGAGTGTGTTGCTAGACGGAGAGTTTTTGACCACAACGCCGGTGTATGGTGAGGTGAGTGAGGTGAGTGAGGTGTGAGGTGGTCTATGTATTGGTGAAAGTCTGTGTATTTGGATGGTTTATGGACACAGATTCGATGAATGTTTGCAAGTTTCGTTAAAGATAGCAACGGTGATGAATAAATTATGCATCCAGAAGAAGAAGAAGAGGAAGTGGACTCTTTGTTTTCACCTAAGAGCAGCGGTTGCTTTGGTCAGGCGAGCGCGTCAGTTAATAAGTAGCCAGTGTATACAGCCCCTCAGTGGCTTTAAGTTTAGGCTTAGCCACTCTAACATGATACCACGATGTGTTCTGAGGCAGTTATCGTACCGGGACAATCTCATACTGTTGCAACCCTAATTTTAAGCAGTAGTCAAAACAATGTATATTCAAAACTTTTCCTAAAACTCAATTAGTGCCAAACCATTCCCAGGTAAGCTGTTTTTCTAAATTCTTTTCCAGGAGTTTTGTGACCGTGGGAACCCTCAACAATTACAATATGGTAAAAAGCAATGGCAGAAACAATAAACAATAAGTAGCTATGGGAGTTGAGGAATAACTGAACATGTAAACATGTCAGCAGTGTATTCACTGAGCGTTCAGGGCGGCACTAGTGTGTAAAAAGGCTCAGTTTGCAGACAGTGTGCTTTTCATATTAGCTTCAGGCAATCCAAACACTGTAATGTTTGTGCAATTTATTAAAATTAAATTCTTATTATTGTAGCCTCTCATCCAGCTGATTAAACTAATAAATACTTGACAAGTTAAGACATGTATCAGCTGCTTTAAATTTATGTTTTACATCAACTACATTGATTTATAACGGCCCTGACACCATGTAGGGAAGAGAGACGAGCTGAGATGGATACTGTCACTTCCTCTTTTCCCCTTATGATGGCAGCACCTGTGGATGCAGTCCGTCTCCAGCCCTCCCCTCCACCACCACCACCAGCCCATTCAGACACAGGAGGACACAATTTGCAACTCAGCAATAAGAACTGTACAAGTGCAGACAGGCCACTCACCAATCGAAAACGACACCAAACTGTGGGAAAACACAGAGTGAGTTTCTATCAAGTCCTCTGCCATCTGTGGGTGGAGGAAGAAGCTGAAAATGCAAGACACAGTAGTTCAGATAAATCATTTCAAGGGTGTGCTTTACAGTTTGAAAACATTGAGAGTAACCTTAACAGTTATTAAAGTCAACTTCATTGTAGATAACAAGCAAAGACATCTTCCCTATTAAAACTCCAGAGCACCATCATTCTGGAATACCTTTCCCTCCCTATCAAAACCTGCCTGTCACTGTCAGTCAAGGGTGTAGCTGTGGTTTCGACACTGCGTGGGACACATATGAAACAGACAGGTTCTCCCCAAAGGATATTTTAAGCATTGAACACTTAGTTTCTTGCATTCTAGTGATTTTTTACGCACCAATTTATGGTGTAAATGTCTTTTATCTGTCAAAATAAAAGCCCTCTGCTATGATAACTGTAAATGTATATGCAGGTTTTAAATATTGAGGGAAATATTCAGGGAAGCTAGCTTGCTTAATACTAAAGACATATGTGTTCACTTTAGCCTTTCTGATACGGTACTCTTTCTTTTTACGCTTTTACTTTCAATATACGCTCCACGCTGCTGCAACCCTTTTAAAATCGCACTTGATTTTATGATTTATAATTTTACCACTCGATTATTTTATGAATCAGTTCTGTTTTATGCTCAGTCTATTTCTATATGAAGCTCTCAGTGCCTTTCATGCCTTTATTGTAAAGTGATTAGCACTGTCGCCTCACAGCAAAAGGGTTCCTGGTTCGAACCCCGGGATGGGGGAGCCCTTCTGTGTGGAGTTTTCATGTTCTCACTGTGTCAGTGTGGGTTTTCTCTGGGTACTCCGGCTTCCTCCCACAGTCCAAAGACATGCAGGTTAATTGGTGACTCTAAATTGTCCATAGGTGTGACTGTGAGTGTGAATGGTTGTCTGTCTCTATGTGTCAGCCCTGTGACAGTCTGGTGACCTGTCCAGGGTGTACCCCGCCTCTCGCCCAATGTCAGCTGGGATAGGCCCCCAACAGGATGAATGAATGAATGAATGAATGAATTATTATTATTAAAATGTGACCACATATGTTGTAAGTACTTCGCAAACCACCTGTGGCATCGTTAATGTGCTCAGTATGTGTGTTTATGCATTTATGCATTTATTTTTGGGTTTTTTTTTATTATTATTACTAACTTGTTTTGTACTTCTTGTTTATCTCATTATATTAAGATAATAAAAACAGTATGTGGATGAATTAGAAATCTTTGAGTGAAGGTTTAAGTACAAGCCCCTTGATGTTCCCTACCTCTCCTGCACAATCTATGCCATATTTGTTGTCATATACTTTTGTTAAATTAAATTCTATAAGCTTTATTGGCATGACATTTCTCATGTGTTGCCAAAGCACAATTAAAACTTAAAACTAAAAGGAGGAGGACATATCTTGCTGCATATCTTGAGCTATGGCTTCGACACTATTTCCTCCAAGCACGTGTTGCATTTTAATCTGGTCAGACTCACACTTTTGTTTTTATCATTTCCTTTGTGCTAATACACTTAACTAGATCCAGGCTGTCAGTGCCAGTCTTACTTCATGTACATGACATGTTTAAATCTAATCCCAGTGAGATTAGGAGTTACTGATGGAGGATCTGGCAAAGCAATCAGGATAATAAAAAAGTCAAACTACAGTGAAATTAAACATTGAACGCAACACCAGTCTGTATTTAAACACATGTAAACCACTCATTTCCACTCAGATGCAATGATAACTCTGTATAACTCACCAGAGCACTGCCCAGATAGCAGTGATGAAACTATGCACGAAGGATGTCGAGATGTTTCTCCACTTCCACGCATTCCTGCGGGCAGATTCAGGCATGGGCACATTGTCCACCGCGATGTTGACAAGTTTGAAAAATCCCACGGAGCTCCCGGTGGTTAAAATCACTGAACTCAACTCCATGGCTGGTGTATTTTTGGTGATAGGTGAAGACTTGAGGTCACGACTGTCCCCCCACTGTGGGCGGTTTACACGGCTGTGGTCCACACACACACACACACACACACACACACACACACACACAGATAATGACCGTGGGTTATTTGTTTGTTATATGCGACCGAGACAAACACGTTAACATAACGTTACCACCGTGTTTACTTCGCGGTTGTTGTCCACAGAGAGAAGGCGTGGACGGGTCTGTCCAGTGTCTCCCCACGGACTGGATGTCTGTGATATTTTCGTGAAATAAAAGACAGCTCAGTCTCTACAGGTGTAACCGGTGGGTTCAGGTGATGAGAGCAGTCGTGTTGCCTCGTCTACAGGTGTCACACCGTCCTGTTATGAAGCCTCATGTCGCGCTTGTGCAACTTCTTGACATCAACAGAAACCAAACGACGCTGTTTCCCCGCCCTACTACAAAGGGGCGTGGCCACGAGCACGGTCCATGTGTTGTGTTGCGTTCATGTGCTGTCGGAAACGTGTGAATCAGAAACAGTTCACTGTTTTTCTCGATTTATAAGAATAAATGAAACTGGGATCCACTTACAAGCACATATAACCTCTAAACTCTTTTAACTAACATGTCCTGCCAGTGTTGCAATGTTGTTCTATATGGGAATATGTCTCTACTGCCTCTAGTGCTTTTATAAACTGGATGTCCTTTTATATTGCATCAACTTTGCCTCAAGTTTTTGCACAGAATCACACTTCTGATGATCATTACATTGTTGTGACCGAAAAAATCACGTTAAAATCATTTCTTGTTGATGCATTCAAAGAAGTCTCTTAAACTGTGTGCCCAGTTTTCTTTTTCTATATCTTAAGTTTTTCAATTTAGCATAAACATCACAAACTATTCTCCACAAAAAGACAAAATTCAATGTAAAGACACATCTTACAAATACGGTGAGCCAAAAAAAAGATAAAAGGAAAAAAAAGTCATTGAAATATATAGGAGAGTTTATCCTATCCTACACATCTGCTTAGTAGGCCTAGTACAGCCACCTCATCATCAATTGACCAAATTGCCGAATACTAAAACCAAAGACAGTTCTTATGTATTTAAAAACATATATTTTAGTTTAGTTTTTTTTTTCATCTTCTAAAGTCTAGTTTTTATTTTTATTTCATTCAACAAAAATGTTTTTACACACCTAGTTTTATTTTTTGACTCACTTTTAGTTAACTATAATAACCTTGTTGCACATAAAAGAAACTTGTCTTGCTGTTTTGGTGCATAGCAATGGGCTAAATACAGTGCAAAGGTCAAGAGATGTAATATATGACAGAAAGAAATATAATAGAAAATATGAAAATAATATAAGGTGGAAGAGTGCACAGTTTTGCGCACCAGAGTGCAAAATATTAAAGTACATGGTTCAAACAATATGTGCATAAGGAGAAATAGTGCATTAATGTAATGCTTTCACAGATTAAAGGGTCATAATCTATAACACCAATACTATACAGTGTGCTAAAAATGTACAAATATTAACAGTATACAACCTAAGAAATTAATGCACTAAGAAATTATACAAATTGCGTGCCAACAATGGTCCCTAAATCAAAATATACATTTGTCTTTGAAAATATACTGTCAATTAGACTTTTAATTATCAATTAGACTCTTAGATCTTCTCAGTACTATCCCACCACTGTTTGTTATTTTTTACCTGCTGCTGCAAATTGCATTGTGGGACAACAAGCAATAAGTATTAAGGACTGTATCCACACTGGCATCTATAACAGATAAGATAAACCTTTATTGATCAGCAGCGGGGAAATTAGGTTGTTGCACTTGCACAAAGATTACAATAGTAGCCTACAGATAAACAACGATAGTGAAAAAAAATGATAAGTGGTATATCAAAAAATATAAAATAAAATAACACAGAGATAATGGCCATGTATTGAAATACAGTAATAAAACCTGCCTTTATATCAGATTAATCCTCTCTGTAATTCAATTTCATAAACACTTTCAATATTCACATTAGAAAAAACTAAATTCTATCAGATGATATCCAAAAAATCCTGAAAAAGGGACTAACTGGGTATTGATTTTGTTTTTGGAGACAGCAGCCGACGAAGAGAATAATCATAATTAATTCTTTTTATTTATTTATTTTTTTTTACCTTCAGTGCTTCTTGGCTTCGTTTTCAAATAAAACCACAACCACCAAGGTAGGTTTTGTTGCACTTCCTATTATTTTTTTGCTGATGGACTAGAATACACCACAAAGTATTATCTCACTGAAGAAGCTGCATAGTACGAAGAGCACCTGAAGGCAGCATTGCTTCTACCCACCTCCATCCGTCACAAATCACCGTGGATTTATGGGAATAGTAGGCAAGTTTGTATCATATGTAACCGGAGAATATGTAACTCATGACATAATATCACAGCAGCTATTATACACCAGCATTTTTTGATATTATCACTGGACCTTGAAACACGATGAATATTTTACATTCGCTGCTGTTTCATTCAGTGGAAGTGGGAAAAAAAACAGTCGCTGTGCGCATTCAAGCCAGAGTGCGACCGTGGGCATGAATGAGTGCTGTGATATTTGGTGACACAGCGCCACCATCCGGTTAAAGGACATTAAAAGAAAGAAGAACAATAAAGACAAAAGAAAAGGACGTGCACAATCCTCCTGGCATTTACACCACATCATATTGTGTCTCATGTTCATACACTTAGCATAAACAATTATATAAAGCACAGAGGGTGAGGATAAGACCCACAGGTATCAGCTGACATGTTAATCATCTTTACTTATAGGATCTCCAGATATTTCTGAAATGATTCTCTCATTTTGGTAATAAGAGCGCTGCAGCTAAAACAATAAGAGTGGACAACATAAAATGGTTGCAGGATGGTGAATTTTATTAACTGTTTGACTTATAATCAAAGTATTTTCACAATATATTTTACTTTTCATGGGGAAGTGGCTTTAAGCGAGTACTTAATGAGTTCAGGTAAAATGTGAGGAAAAAATGAAGCTAAAATGGGAGATTTTTCTGAGGTGAAACCAGCATGTTTTCAGGCATCGGTTGCCATAAAATCATGAATAATATGCTGTTGTGTGTCACTCTGTAATATTACAGACATTTTTGTGAGTTAAAAAATATTCCAGATGATGCAGTGGGACTATGTCAGCCACACTAGCCCAACATTAGCCATCATTGTTACATTCACGCAAGCACACACACATGCATGTCTATTGTAGACAATATGGCATCAAGTAAACAGGCAGCTGAAGAACAGGGACAGCATGGCAGAAAAGTTGGGTGATCCTTTTTTTAAAAGTATAGTTAAGTTACATTAATGATTAGATGAGTCAATGACTGAACTGATAAATTGATTTAACCATTTAAACAAACAAAAAAACAAACGTGATGGTCCCATTTCACCTGAACATGTCACTGGAGTGAAGTATGGCATCTTGATGTGTTTGAAGGCCCAAAGTTTCTAAAGTATTTTACTTGGCAATACATTTATTTTATAGAAATATAGCAGAGATACACAACAAGGCTGCAAAATAACACTGAAGGTAATTGTTCAGGAGGAGAGGTCTACTATCATCGGCATTCCTTTTGCACACAAAGGTTTATTTCCCAGCTTGTCAGTCTTGAGAGATTTTGCACTTATAGCTACTGTAAATCATATTGTCTCTTACATGATTAAACAGATATAGAACATCAACACACATATTACCGAGCAATCATCATTACATATCTGTGTATGACCAAAGACTACAAAAGAAAATAGGAAAGGATTAGTTTAACTAAATATTTTTTTTTATAGTTTATGTAGAAAAAGCAAATAGTTTTGTCATAGATAGACTATGATGGAGATGGGTTTGCCTTTTTGAGGGCATGTGTAGAAAATCACACCATTTTTGATTTAACGTGAGTTCTTCTCTGACACGTGCATATTTCCAGGTGGCGATCAGGTCCCTCCACCCCACGGGCCCCAGCGATCACACTGCCCGCCCTGTCTATATTTACGCCCCTACAACCTGCCACAAAATGTATTCCCTTTCTGTAATATAAAAGTCTCTCAAAGACTTTTTCACAGGTACACTCAGGTGGACAGCATGCATTTATGTTTTCAACTGAAGAAGTATAAACCAATTTAAAGATTGATATAGCCTATATCATGTGAAACCTAGTTGTGACTTAAATGCCACTACAGCATCAAAACCCATGCATATACAACAAAATGTCTTCTAAATAGCTGTCCACTGCAGTGACCACTGTGTATGAAAGAGTTCTATCTATCTATCTATCTATCTATCTATCTCTTACAGAAGTTACAGGGAGATTTTACTCTCATGTATGAACAGTGTATCTAATCACCTCCATCCCTCCTCTATTGTGGTTGGCTGTGGGAGGAGCTCGCGCTTATGACGTCACTCCGGCTGCCTGTCACGCGGGCAGTTCTCCTCAACTCGCTCTTTAACGACCCGTGTTTGTTTGTTCCTCTGCGGAAAAAGAGGGGCCTAGTATCGACAGATGTATCAGACCTGACTGCTGTTACCGGCAGAAGGAAACAGGTGAGCGGTGCTACATGGAGGTGTCAGTCATTACTCTGCACCTAAAGTCTGACACGAGGAGAGAGGCTCGTGTTTAATGCGACTGGGAGATTATTAAAAAGCCGGGTTTGTGATGCTGTTACACCTTTAGGATCACTTCATGTGTTCTGTCAGCTTCACTGCAGTGTAGAAAGAGAAAAGAGAAGTGATAAATGTGCACGTTTGTTGTTTATCTTGCATTATTATATAAGTCTGTATGGTTGGTTTGGTCTTTTGTCCTTGTGAGAATTTAAAGTGTTTTATCTGCACAAAGAAATATATAGCGAACAGACTGTCAATAAATGTTGCACCATCACATAATGCTTATCAGTCGATAGTTGTTTTGGCCCTATGGTTAAGATGAAGACTTAAAAAAGAGTTGACCTAATTTGCTTTAAAAATGAACTACACTGTATCCTGCCTGTACCCTGTGTGTCCTTTGGCTGGGATTACAAATGTCTCTGGGTGGACCATAAACTGTTTCTGCAGTCAGCTGAACAATAGTCATGTTTTTTGGTTGTTTTTTTTTGATATGGCTCATGACTTGCAGGAATGAATCAGTGCCGAGAACCAGGTCAAGGTGTGGAGCAGGAGGAGGAGGAGGAGGTGACTGGGATGGTGTGTCAGGAGGCCGACCTGAAAGATGGACAGTAAGTCACAATGCTTCTTTTTACTGGAAATGGATCAAGTTTTTGGTTCAGCCACAGCTGTCAGTGTTTCTCATCATCCATATTTTGTGTCTATAAAGGATGAAGGAAGTTACAGTGGGGGAACAAAAGGTGCTGCTTGTCCGTACTCAGGGTCAGTACAGTGCTGTGGGAAGCCAGTGCTCTCACTACAATGCTCCTCTTGTCAAAGGTAAACCTTCAGTCTCTGTAAACCAGTAATAACTTCATGAATTGTTTTGCATTGAATCTGATGAGTGTTAATTTCACGGTCTTTAATAATGCAGGAGCGCTGGTCGGTGACAGAGTAAGGTGCCCGTTTCATGGTGCTTGCTTTAATGTCAGAACTGGAGATATTGAGGAGTATCCTGGTCTGGACTCTCTGCCGTGTTATAAGGTAAAACACATCGGTAGAGACCTATATTTAATGGCAATTAACAGCTGTTTTAACGTCAGTAAATCCAGGAGAGGTACACTGTAGTTTAAAATTCAGTCACATTTGTTTATACAAAAAAAACTTCTGTATCTTAACTGTGGATTGAAGCTTGAACGCTGTCTTTTCAAACAAAGGAGTCAGTCAGAAAGACAAGTTGCAAATTCACCCCCTGCGGATGGATACTGCATGTAAATAAATCTAATTTTCAGTTAGTCTCATTTACAAACTGACTCAAACTGAGGATCAGCTGTTACCAGACATTTATACCTGTCATTATGTAAGCAAATTCAGATTAAACACCATCTAAAGAGTACGCTGTATTTATTCAGTCTTTGATATAGACTCTTTTCATGTGTAATTCTGTTACCAGATGTCTGTTGTTGTTTTCACCTGCTGCAGATCATTGTCCTGAAACACTGATTTTTGCTTCAGAAATAAATGACCCCCATTATGCTGTAATCTAAAAAATCACATTCAGTATCTAAACTTATCTTTTTCTATCTCCCTCTTTCTTTAAATTTTACAGGTAAAAGTCGAGGATGGCCAGGTGTATGTGTCCATCAAGAAAAATGTAAGTCTTGTAAAATTGAATAAACAATAATTATCAAAATTTTCCTTTTATTTTTTGGTAAAATACAATGTTTTAACCTGTCCCTTGTTTGTTTGCGTCCCTCAGTCCCTGAAGTTGACGAGGCGGGTGAAGGAGATGTGCAGCTTGGTGCCAGACATCAAACACACCATCTTGCTGATAGGAGGAGGTTAGAGTTAGATGTTATACACACAAGTAATAAATAGTATATGAATGTAAATGTTGTTTTTAGGGCTCATGAATCCTTGTTAGTAGGATTACAAAAGAGAAGTTGGTGATCAAGTGTGGCCATATTTATTTAAAGGAATACTTAACCCTACCCAGCAAGCATTTTTTGGTTTAAAAAACATCTAATAGCCGTCTACATGAAGACCTGACGTCTAGGCTAAATCACGGCTGAATTTGGGCTGTCAGTGAAAATTTGGTAGACGTCTAACCATAGCCAAAGTGTAGACGTCATCAATTATACGGCTATGTAGAGACCATGTCCAAAAAATGGAGATAAACATATTTTAATTACTGTTGACTCTCCATACATGATTGAATATCATACCACACTCCATCTGCAATGGTGAAAATGGAGCTAAATATAGCCAATACGTTTAAATCACGACTATTGCTTGCTGGGTACTGATGAACATTTGTTTATCAGTTATTCACCCTGTGTACTGTTGAATTCATGAGGAAAACTCTGTGTTTCTTGCATGCCTCTGGTGAACGTAGAATCCAAAAACTGAGAAAATTCTTGATGAATTGAAGTCATGGGGGTCCACATTTAACAACAGCAAAACAAAACGTCTGTTAGCAAACACTTAGCAACTTGTGCCTTATAATCCAAGTCTTATTTATCCAGTTGTATGCTCAGTGCTTCCCAAACAGACAGCTCTTTCATACAGGGAACTAAACTAAAAGTAAAACTTATCTACGCTCTCTTCAAAGCCAGACTCCATTGACAAATGGAGTAATTTTACTAGCTGAACACAAGAGCTGCTGGTCTACCACCGCTGCCTTGATCATTTAGTTTGTTTGTGTTATTGTGTGACTTCGGTGTTTTAAAGGGTTAGTTTGAATTCACCAAAGTCACAAAATAACACAAACAAACCAACTAATCGAGGCAGTGGTAGACCAGCAGCTCCAGTGATCAGTGAGGTAAAATTACTGTTTCTGTCAATGGAGTCTGGCTTTGAAGAGAGTGTAGATAATTTTCACTTTCCGTTCAATTCCCAGACGGAAAGGGCTGTCATTTTGGAAAGTACTGAGCACAGCTGGATAAATGAGACTCAGATTATACTGTTCGCACTGTGTGAGAGTTTTTAAACAGATGTTTTGATATAGTTGTGCTATGTTTAAACCTGGACCCCTGTGACTGCAATTCATCAATATTTTTCCCTGTTTCTTTCATCCAATGCGACATGCGAGCAAAAGAAAGTTTCCGAATTCAATGCAATGCAGGGTGAGTAATTGACATAGAAATGGTCATATTCGGGGGGGGGGGGGGGATTCCTTTAAACTCCATCTCTGAATTAACGCCCTGAAAAATTCCACACTGTATGAATTTTGTGTTTTCAGGCCCCGCCTCTCTGGTTTGTGCTGAAACCCTGCGGCAGCACTGCTACCAAGGTCGAATCATAATGGTAACCAAAGACAGCCTGCCTCCAATTGACAAGCCCAAACTGAGTAAGGTGAGACCTCAATCAGAGAAGAAAGAAACCTGTAATCACCCTGCCTTGTTTGTCTTCTGGAGTAAGCAGACTCTACTGTTAGTGTTTGCAGAAAACCAGTAATACATTGTCTCTTTCAGGCTTTGAATGTGGACAGCAGCAGCATCCTTCTCCGGACAATTGACTTCTATCAAAAGTATGGAATTGAGGTGTGGACACAGAAGGAGGTGAGACGCAAAAAGATTAATCCAGGGGCAATTCTAGGATCAGAGGTTTAGGGGTGCTGAGCACCCAGAGAGCTGCCCGGCCAGGCAAGATAAATTTTACTGTTTTGCACATTTTAACTCAATTTAATTCCCACATTTGTGAAAGAAAAGCACAACACTTTTTGGGAAAGTCTGTGACTAAACCATCAAATCTGATAAAGGTTATTTAAATGCTGAGCCACAGCAAAAGAGGAATGGGCTGTATTTTTGTTTTGTTGTTTGTTGTTTTTGTTTTTTGTTTTGTTGTTTCAACCAAGTACTGTATAGTTTTGACACGTTTCTAGCTTGTTGAAAAAGGACATACAGTAAAAAAAAAAAAAATGGTTTTCTCTTTGGTCTTATCAAGAAGTGTGTTTTGTGTTGCAGGTGGTGTCGGTGAACCCAGCTGATAAGGTGGTGAAGCTGAGCGACGGCACTTTGCAGCATTACGACCAGCTCCTCATCTCAACTGGCTGTAGGTTAGTCATCGTCCTGTTTCTCAAATGTTTCACAAACAAAAGCACATTTTTAGATTGTTTGCTCACACTCGGATGTCATAAGACTTACTGAACAGATGAAAGACAATGGAAACATTCATGGAAAAAGAATGTCCATGTGACAACAGCAAAATACAGTGAAACTCCTGTCTTTGTTCACAGAGCGCAGCCGCTCAACTGTCCTGGCTCGGACCTGACGGGAGTAAAGTTGTTGCAGAGATATGAAGACGCCCAAGAGATTCACAGCTCCTGCCTGGGCCAGAGAGCTGTTGTGATAGGAGCCTCCTTCATAGGTTACCTGATTCAGTTTCTCTTAACATAGCAGGGTGAATCATGGGTTGTGTAGCCTATCTTAGCTTTTCTGTTTGATTATCAAGCGTCACTAACTCGTTCAAAGCCACCTCTCTCATTGTAAAATCTGCTATGTAAATATTTCACAAATATAAGATATAGGAGATTGCTGAGGTGTTTTTCTACACATTTTCTTTTACACATTAGGTATGGAGGTGGCCTCCTACTTATCCGACAAAGCTGCCAGCGTGGCTGTGGTCGGCACTTCCAGATACCCGTATGAGCGATCTCTGGGGCCAGAGATTGGCAAAATGAGTATGCAAGTAAGAAACAATGATGATGGTAGTCTGTCATCATCATCGCTGAATGTGATTTGATTCACTTTTTTAAAAATGAAACAGAGTTTTAAAACGCAGTTTCTTCTTTTAAGATGTTGGAGGAACAAAAAGTAAAGTTCTACATGAGTGATGGAGTCACTGAGATCCATGGGGAGAACGGCAAGGTAACTCTGCTTTTACGCTGTCAGCATAAACCAGGGATACTCAACTTGATTTGCCTCGGGGCAATATGGCAGGAGGCCAGGGGCCAGTTGTAGCAGCCATGCACAGGCCAGGTGTACGTAGGGGTGCGTCTTGGGTTAAACCCAGACCTTTGTCAGGGGGTGCGGGGGATCTTACCCCGCCACTTTTTTGATAAACAAGCTCTATTTTTGATGCTTTTCAGTGCACTAAGGCACCTTATTGACATTCAGAATACAAGAAAAAAATTGCCAGTGTGAATAATTTTGCTTTCATTGTGAATTCTGCTGGAAACCGGTGGATTGCCACCTCTGGGTTGGGAGAAAGTTACTGCCTCAAGAGAGGTAGTTCAAGTGTCTTGGGGTCTTGTTCACAAATGAGGGTAGAATGGAGCGTGAGATGGATCGGCAGTTTGGTGCAACGTCTGCAGTGATGCTGGTGCTGCACTGGACCATTGTGGTGAAGAGGTTCAATTCACTGGTCCATCTATGTCCCAACCCTCACCTATGGTCATGAGCTCTGGGTAGTGACTGAAAGAATGAGATTGTGGATATAAGTGGCTGAATTAAGTCTCTCAGAAGGGTGGCTGGGCACAGCCTTGGAGATAGGGTAACAAGCTCGGAGTAGAGCCGCTGCTCCTTTGTGTCGAAAGGGGTCAGTTGAGGTGGTTCGGGCATCTGATCAGGATGCCCCACTGGTAGGAGGCCCCGGGGCGGACCCAGAACACACTGGAGGGATTACATATCTCATCTGGCCAGGGAACACCTTGGGGTCCCCCAGGAGGAGCTGGAAAGCATTGCTGGGGAGAAGAACGGCACTGGCCTTTTTTTGACTTGTCATAGGAGGAACATCACAACTAACTAACTAAAAACACAAACAGATAATTAAATAAACATATAAATAAATGAGAAACAATGGAATAGTGTCTAATCTACTGTTAATCCCTAGATTACTCTTATTTTTTCCAGGTGAGAGCAGTGGTGCTTAAGAGTGGTGAAGTCCTGGATGCTGATGTGGTGATTGTCGGAATTGGTAGTTTTATTATTCTACTTTAGTGTTGTTATATACTGTACACTTTTTGTTATTATTACACACAAATCAAGTTTGGGACTGTTTTAATGTGCAGTTCTGCAAAAATCAAACTGTCTTTTTTCTAGGTGTAATCCCCAACTCAGACTTCTTGTCAGGAAGTGAGTTGAAGGTAGATTCAAGGAGAGCTGTGATTGTTGACAAGGTAACACGCTGGATAATACAGTCTTCACCAAACATTAACCACTATGATGTTGACATGACTAATGAGGCATACACATGGTTTTACATTTATGACTCAGCCTGATGGATACAGTTCATTCTCAATGGTTGCTTTTGGCCATATTAACATTGTATATTACCTGAATCCTTCAGCTAACTGTGTCCAGATGACTGAAATTAACAGCTGTGTAAATATAATGTTTGTACATTTCGTATGTCTGATGTTGTAAACTCCTTTATCCTTTCTATCAGTACATGAGTACCAGTATACCGGATATTTTTAGCGCTGGGGATGTTACGTCTTTCCCTCTGACCATTCGTGGAGACCAAAGAGTCAACGTCGGCCACTGGCAAATGTCACAAGCTCAAGGTGAGACTGAAGGATTCAAAGGGCCACAGCTTCTTATTCACAACAGCACGTGGCCCATAAGGCTGAAGTGTATAGTTTTTAATCCAGATTAATTTGATGCCTGTTTTAAGATAATCATGCATGCAACCATATGCTGTTTTTTTTTTTTTTTTTTACTGTAGGAAGAGTAGCTGCCCTGAACATGCTGAACAAACCGACCAAATGTGACTCTGTTCCTTTCTTCTGGACTGTGTTGCTTGGGAAGAGTATCCGATACACAGGTAGAGCATTCAGAGGAAAATGTCCCCCTCGCATCATAATATTTAAATGCATATAAACCTCTATACCAAGTCTCATTTCCCCCTTTCATTTCCTCATTCTAGGCTACGGAGAAGGATACACAGAAATCATATTCAAAGGCAAAGTGGAAGAAAGGAAGTTCCTGGCATTTTACATAAAGTGAGCAGCAGCAGAATAACTCCTGATACAGCTAAATACGACTTTATGCTGTTTGTGCTCAGTTTCTTTCGTTTCTCCTTTAATAGAGAAGAGGTGGTGGTAGCTGCGGCCAGCCTGATGTTTGACCCTGCTGTGGCCCGTCTCGCAGAGTTGATGGCTACTGGGCAGATCATAACAAAGGCGCAGGCTCAGTGAGTGTCATCCTGCATTCACACAAACCAGGCTATGTGTTTATATAGTGTATGCACAAAATAATGATGACTTCCACAGCTGTGTTACCTCCTCAGGGTGTAAATGTCATTCTTATTGTTAATTTTGGCCACCTGGGGGCAGCAGAAACAAGAACATATCAACCTTTTAAGTTGATATGCAGACCCCGTTTGTAAGTGATGCTTATAACACATCCAGTAGACACAGAGCAACATTAATATTCATTTAAAGACATGCCCCTGTCAATCTGGTGAATTTCAGTCCAACATTCAGTGTCTTTTATCTCTGTTTTTGGTCTCTACCAACTCCTGAGAAAATTATCTGTCTTTTTAGCTGCTAAATGCTCCACTGTGTTCTCCCGCTTGTATCTAGCTTTGTTTGTCTGCCATGAATATTTGTTGTCTCACTTCCTCGTCTGTTCAGGGCTGACGACCTGAGCTGGCTACAGATGTAACCCGAGGGCTGCTGCATCCAGGAGCAACACGTCTCACTGACGAAGGATGTCGCCTTTCTCTTTAATGTCTGTCTCTCCATGAAACGGTGCCAAATTGAATTGCTCTTTACTGCCTCAGCTCGTCTGAATGCCAATCAGACCTCTGCTCTGTAACCATAGCAGCAAGCAAACGTCTCTGCACTTTTATCTGATCTCTGTGTAACGAGCGTAATCTAGATAACACGGCAGTTTTACCTGTATTCATTCTAAGTTTTAACTACAGCTGGACTAAAAGTGGGTCGTCTCAAAGGCCACAGTCTGTGGTTAATATGAACCACACCACATAAATTAATCCATAAAAGAATCCATAAACATTCAGTTCTGAAACACACACACCACTCCATGTGTTTTAGTTACTCTATATTCATGAGTAACTTTTAAAACTTTAACATACAAAGGCCAGTTAAAGTCCTGCATTCAAAAAACACAGTGATGAATGTGTTTGATTTAATTTTTTAAACTTTTATCATCAATCCCTCCCGTTTCATTATCACTTAAATGCTTGATTTAATTATAAATGTTTACAGCAGAGATGTAGCTTATTTTCAAGTCTTTTAACTTGAAAGTCAATCCCACATGAAGAGAAAACAAAAGCACTTTGTGTAATCTTAACTTTTACTCACTTAGTAATAAAGTCTGGGTGCCTTGTGGTGCATAACTAAAGCTCAGGTATTAAATCTGTTTCAACACCACAGATTATCTACACCTTATTGTACTTCCTGTCGTCAGCCTGTTGGTGCAGTGTGAAGATGTGTTTTCTGTTTCTGAAATTGTTACACTGACAATAAACCATCACTCATCTAGACTCACAAGTCAGTCTTTAGACGCTTTGCTTAACTAAAGAAGAAGGGTTAGAAGGCGGAGATCTCTGATTGTCTGGTGGGGAGACTATCACTCATCTGAAGATAACCTTCACTACTTTGTTTCATATTTTGACCCTCTGACAGCTGCTTTTGAAATGTTCACGTAACAAATCACAATGTAATAATCTCTACATGTAGATGAAACATTTCTTTTCAAACATCAGAGAGTGATTTTAGGTCTTAGATTTTTATTTCCACTCTTGTACCTGTTTCTGTCAAACTGGCTTTTGGTGATTCATTTTCTAAGTCTGATCTAAATTATTTCCTCTCCCGTGTTCATGACTTAAGAACAGGTGGGAAAAGAAGTTTTGCTTAGATCATTTTAATAAGCTCCTTTTCCAGGTGGAAAAGTTTTAAAAGGTGTTTTTTTTAGGCAGGGGAATTTTTTAAAGAGTTTATTCAGCAGCAAGAGGCTAAAGTACATATATTTCTAGCCCAAAGAAAGACATGACAGTAATGTTATGTAACTTTCTAAAACACAATATATGAACCTTTGTGTTTAGAGTGTACAGAGGAAGAACGACTCACCAGGAGGAAAACTTGGATGCTTTTAGTCCTATTGAGAATGTGTGACAGTAGAACACTTCAGCCTCTTGTGGCCAAAATAAGTATTACAAAAAACAAAAATATCACCTGCAAATACTATTTATTTTTTTTTACCTTTTTACTCAAATGGGAAAGAAAAGAGTAAAGAGAAAAAGAAGAAAATTTATCCTGGCGCTTTTTTTTTTGTCCTTTTTTTCCTTTTTTTTCAATTTTTTTTTTGTGTTGAGAAACGTAGAAAGATTATCCTGGCAAAACCAACAAATATTAAAGATTCAGCATGTAGGATTTATGGGGATATATTGGCAGATATTTCATAGAATATAATAGGTATGTTTTCTTAAATGTATAATCCCTGAAAATAAAAATAATTGTGTTTTCCTTAGCTTTGAATGAGCTGTTTATATCTGCATAGGGAGCAGTTCCTCGTTTAAGGAGATAAATTTCACCACCATGTTTCTACCATAGGCCAGAATGGACAAACCTAACACTGGCTCTAGAAAGGGTCATTCACGTTTTTGCTCAGCAGCCTCTCTGCTATGACAGGGTCAGACAAAACATTGCTTTTTAATGTGAAACTTTTTTATTCAGTGTTTTCACTGGTTTTAATCACATGGTCTGATGTTTTGAAGAGGAGGAGACCTCTGTAAATAATATGGCTCCCAGTAAGAAACTCTTGAACGTCTGGAGCAGAAATAAGGTGAGCACACATTTGCTGGTGCTGGGCTAGTGGCCCATCTGCTACTTGCCAAAAAGCAAAGGAGAAAAACCTCCTGAACAATCAACACTAAAGAAATTCTAACAGGGAGACGTTTCAGCTGGTTGCAATCTACAATCCTCACCACTAGATGTCACTAAATCCCCCTAAATCTTGCACACTTCCTTTATTAAGTAATAAAAACAGTAGAGGAAACAATTTAGATCAGACTTAGAAGCTGTATCGCTTCATCTTTTTTCCTCACTTGCCTCTCAGGGCTTCTGTATTTTGTGCTGTTGTGAAATGAGAGTGTATTTAACATTTTAGAAACAACCCCATAACTGACAGCAGAGCTCTGTAGTCTTTGCTTACTCACATCACCAGCATCATCGGCTGCAGATACTTAAAATTATACCTGTCGGTACAAGTTCCTCTTTCATGTTGCACAGTGACAGCCAAACACAGTAAGATCATTTACTGTCATTTTCACTCAGAACCTTTTTCTTAGTAGATTGAAACAAAGAACGGTTATTAGAAAAATTTTATTTTAGTACCTGGACACTTACTTATTATGATATTACTGCGACAGCATTATCCTGCTAAAAAAACGTAACACCATGATATCTAAAATTAACAATATAACAAGAGGTAAGAGACGACTAGCACATAAAATGATTAGTCTCAAGTTATGGACTTACTGTATAAAATCAACTAATCAAACTCAATCTCATTGCAGCTGTTCTACTCAGTCTTCAGAACAAGTTCCTCTGTTACATCTTATTTGCTTGTTTTGGAGCACTGTCTCACTGAGGATCCCAGTTTGTCCGCCAGTAGAAATGGGTTGAGGTGGCAGTACTGAGGAACAAATAAAGAAAAATGCATGTTACTGTCACATGATCCTAAAACAACTCTTCAGCACTATCAAAGCTTTTACTGTGCAGTTGCTACAAAGAGTTATTCTTTCTGTAAAACTTGTAAAAGCACAAGGCAACATGTATTTAAATTGATTTTTGCATCAAAACGTCACATCATTCTCTTTCTGAATGCAGTCAGTGTTATACAGTCTATGGTGTTAACCCTTCAAAATTAAAGCATTTTGGCCATCAGCTACCTGAGGTGTTGACTCTGAGACAGACTCAGGTCGATCCAAAGTCTGGATTACGAAATCCGGAGAGAAGCGAGATGACTGGAGGATCGCTGCCATCTCTCCATTTACCTGCACTGCCACGTCTTTCTGCATGTAGCACAAAAGAAAACAATCTTAACAACATCATAACAGATCATATTTTAATATGAATATGCAGGATTCTTTTTCTTTAAAATTAAAAAAATATAACAAATATAGACCCACGTTTCCTGTTGTTAAAACAAGACACCAAAATTTAATGAAAGCTCTTGTGTAAACATTGATAAATCAATAGATATTGGGCTGCTCGGACTTTTATTTTACCTTGAAAGAGTGGGAGGAATCAAAGTCCAGCTGATCGGGGAAATTTGGCACAGTTCCTTTATAGGTCACCGTTGCCTCAGACACCGCTGGACTTTTGGGCAGCTTAAAGAGTCTGTATGTGCCTGAAGTGTAGCTGACATCACCTGCAAAGTGAAGAACTGGCTCAGTTGTTGAGTGAAAATGATCTTCACATGTCATTAAAGTCAGTATTGCATTTTTGTTACCTGCTTTTGCTTTGAGCTCACAGTTGTGGATCACGATGTGACTGGCTGCGACAAGGTGTGGAGTGCTGAAACCGATGCTGTGAGCCAATGAAATGAGATCCTGCCAAAACAGGGAGCCGCCCATTCCTTCACCTGTAGGTGAGAAAATAAAGGTCACAGCCAGAGGAGATTGTGAAGCAGTGGTGTAGGGATTCTGCTCTTCTATACTGATTTTAGGTTGACGATGTAATGTTTTACCCCACAGGACCGCATCTCCTTTCATGTGATCAGGAACGACTTTGCTGGCGTACATGTCACTGAAGTACAGCTCACCTCCCTCCTGTGTAAAGTGAGAGTGTGATGAGAACCATGAACAGCAAGGTGTTCATGGTTTTAATTTTAATGCAGTTGGTGAAATTCTTCAGACTAACCTTTAGGACGTTGTAAGCTTGCTGTAGCACTGCTTTTTTATCAGGACACAAACAGATGACACAGTTGGATCTGGATTTATATTAGAGGGAAAACAGTTTTGTTAATTAGCTAGTCAAAGCTGTCACAGACCATAGACTCATATCCATGCTTTCAACCTACAGCACAACATCCATTGAGTCACTCTGTACGCCAGCTTCACCGAGCTTCTCCATGTACCCCTGGACAAAAGTGACGTTGGGCTTCTCATAGCCAAACTTCTTCTGATGATACTCGATGTACTGACGAGACGCTGCGATCTACAGAAATGCAAGTTAGATCAGTAGAAAGCACAGAAGTCAGGTGTCAAACAGTGTGTTGAAATCCATGTGTAATCACCAGCGTCTCAGTCATATCGATCCCTGTCACGTGTCCGCTTGGCCCGACGAGTTTACTGAAGGCATAACAGTCTCTGCCAGAGCCGCTGCCGAGGTCCAGGACTTTGCAGCCCTCGAGCTTCGCTGGGAAGGGAAGGCCACAGCCGAAGAATCTAGAGGAAAGGATTGTAAAGACAACAGTGTATGACCACATAGATGAGATGAGATAAGCATCAGGATTGGGAAGAAAGGTGATTTAAGTGACTTTGAACGTGGTATGGTTGTTGGTGCCAGACTTGCTGGTCTGAGTGTTTCAGAAACTGCTGATCTACTGGGATTTTCACACACAACCATCTCTAGGGTTTACAGAGGATGGTCCGAAAAAGAGAAAATATCCAGTGAGCAGCAGTTCTCTGGGTGAAAATGCCTTGTTGATGCCAGAGGTCAGAGGAGAATGGCCAGACTGGTTCAAGATGATAGAAAGGCAACAGTAACTCTAATAACCACTGGTTACAACCAAGGTCTGCAGAAGACCAATCCTGAACCAACAACACGTCCAACCTTGAAGCAGATGGGCTACAGCAGCAGAAGACCACACCAGGTGCCACTCCTGTCAGCTAACAACAGGAAACTGAGGCTACAGTTCACACAGGCTCACCAAAACTGGACAATAGAAGATTGGAAAAACGTTGCCTGGTCTGATGAGTCTGGATTTCTGCTGCAACATTCAGATGGTAGGGTCAGAGTTTGGTGTAAACAACATGAAAGCATGGATCCATCCTGCCTTGTATCAACGGTTCAGGCTGGTGGTGGTGTAATGGTGTGGGGGATATTTTCTTGGCACACTTTGGGCCCCTTAGTACCAACTGAGCATGGTTTAAACACCACAGCCTACCTGAGTATTGTTGCTGACCGTGTCCATCCCTTTATGACCACAGTGTACCCATCTTCTGATGGCTACTTCCAGCAGGATAACGCACCATGTCACAAAGCTCAAATCATCTCAAACTGGTTTCTTCAACATGACAATGAGTTCACTGTACTCCAATGGCCTCCACAGTCACCAGATCTCAATCCAACAGAGCACCTTTGGGATGTGGTGGAACGGGAGATTCTCATCGTGGATGTGCAGCCGACAAATCTGCAGCAACTGTGTGATGCTATCATGTCAATATGGACCAAAATCTCTGAGGAATGTTTCCAGCACCTTGGTGAATCTGTGCCACGAAGAATTAAGGTAGGTAGTTCTGAAGACAAAAGGGGTCCAATAC